ACATATATATATATATATATACATATATACATATATATATATACAGTATGTATGTATGTATGTATATGTGTGTATGTGTGTAAATCTAAAATGGATTCCAAAATTAATCACAGTTATTTTAGAAGTGGCTTTTAACAGTATTAATACAAAGTAGCATATTTTGTGGAAAAAGTATTAATTTACTTACAGAGATGAACACTATGAAATGAATAAGTAAATAAATACTTTGCAAAGTTGTACTTTTCTTTTCCACTTTAAACTTTATTTTAATACTGGGGGTTGTAAGGCATATTTATTGTGAAATGTTTATTTCTATAAAAAACTTTAATTGATATTATTAAGTTTGTTTATATATAGAGCAGCTGTGCTCACTCTCCACTGTGTACTAATAAAGGCAGTTAGAAGCAGCAGAGCAGTCCCACATTGTGCTTCTGCAAAGCACTTATGCTCCTGACCTGGACAAATGCATGTTTGATTACCGTTCTGACAATATCAATTCAAGATAAGAGCACGCATGATGACGTACATTAGCGGATCCCTGTGAATAGGACGAATAAGGTCATCCAGGTTTTCAAAGATGGGTCGGTTAGCACTTTTATAAAGCCTGAATCTGTCTGTTTGTACAGACAGCCCCTTTTGTTGGGCTTGTGTGTGTGTTTGAGTGTCTGTATGCACATGTGTATGTTCTGATCTGCATGGCTGGGTGTGTGTGAGTATGTGTGGGTGTGTATTTGGGGGATTTGTTTCAGGCTGGACACGGACAAAAATAAATCTCCATGTTGATACATGTCAGGGGAGTTTACATTCTCTCTCTCTAGCAAAGTGCTCTACAGTGATGTAGTTGTGCTCGCCCTCATATTTGGCCCAATGAAATGCCATGAAATATTCATTCTGCTTTCCTCTGAGTCCTAAAATATACATAGAACATACTCATGTCACAAGAAGCTCTGAGTAACACATTAGAAGTAGTCAGAGGTGGGACCAAGTCATTGTTTTGCAAGTCACAAGTAAGTCGGAAGTCTTTGCATTCAAGTCTCGAGTCAAGTCCCGAGTCAAGACAGGCAAGTCCAAGTCGAGTTGCAAGTCCTCAGCTGTAAGATTCAAGTCTTAAACAAGTCATTAGTGCTTTTTGCCCAAATTAGTGTCTCAGTATTAATTACCATATCAAATTCATAGTAATTTATAT